GGATGAGATGCGGGACATCTTCACGAAGCTCCAAGGCGGCGGTGTGGTATACCTGGAGCTCTTGCAATGCGTGGAGATCGTGATACGGCTGCCGGAGTCGTGGTCTGCCCTTGCGATCAACCTCAACTCTCAACAGCCTCACTGGAGCGTGGATTACATTCGCGCGCGCATCCTAGAGGAGGACTTGCGGCGGCGGAGTGTGGAGCGCTCGGAGGAGGGGGGCGGCTATGGAGTTGGAGGTGGAAAGAGTGGCTTCAAGAAGAAGTGGAAGGGCAAAAACAAGGACAACCTTAAGGAGGATGGCAGCGGGGGTCAAGGGGAGGCGTGCTTCTACTACAAGAAGCGCGGACATCGTTGGCGGAAGTGCTACCAACGACCCAAGGATTGGACCCCGCCTTCATCAAGCAACCAGCGCGGTGGCACGAGGAGTGGGGGTATCGTGGAGCTAGTGGAGAGGAGGAGGAGAAAGGCGACAAATCTGAGGAGCGGAAGGCCGGATTCTACTTCATGAACGAAGGCGCAACCGACCTTGCTATGGCTGCTAAGGTTCTCCTACACCCCCTCACCCATTGGGTGATTGACTACGGGAGTTCTTGGCACATGAATCCTCGTGCGGACCTACTCGATGAGATTCAGCCCGCACCCATCTCTACAGTCACATCCGTGACGGGCGCCAAGGCCAAGGTCACGGGCATGGGATGCGCCAAGTTCATGGGAGCGGATGGAGAGCTCGTGGGGCTGAAGAACGTGCTGTGGGTGCCGGACTTGTGCGCGAACCTGATTTCTACCGGCCGGTTGGGAGATGCGGGTGTGAACACCGAGAAGATTGGCTCGGAGCGCTATCGTGCCTACAACGATGAGCGCCTCATTTGGGACCTGCAGTGGAAGGGAGATGTACACAAGCGCATGTGGCAGATCCCGGTACTCCCTTGGCGGAAATCGGGCAAGGCGGAAGCGGCGGCATCTATGGAGGAGAGCGTCACCGAGGAGGAGCAGCAAGGTGTGCAAGGAGAGGAGCTGATTGGAGGAAGCGCGGCGGTGAAGGGCGTCGGCTACCTCGGGCCAAGCGGATTGGGAGACTTGGCATCGGCGGCTCACACACGTGGCTGTTTCTACATTGGAGGTGATGCACAAGGAGATGTGCGTGCACGGCCTGCAACTGCAAGGAGATGGCGCTCACTATGGCAGCTGCGAGGCGTGCATGCAAAACAAGTTTGTGCGGTTCCCGTTTCCACGTGCGGAGGGATCAGCCAAGGCACCATTGGAGGTGGTGCACATGGACTTGGTGGGTCCTATGAAGATTGAGGGGACTGGGGGAGTGCTGTACTTCCGGTGGACGAATGGAGCCGTTTCACGTGGGCACGTCCCTTGTCCAAGAAACGTGATGCTGCGACGGCGATCAAGGAGGATTGGTTGGCGATGGTGGAGCGGCAAGCGATGCGGCTGGTGAAGGTGCTGAGGAGCGACTGAGGTGGAGAGTTCCTTGGAGCAGAACTCACCAAGTTCCTCAAGAGGAACGGCATTCGACACCAGCTGACCTGCCCAGGAACACCGCAGCAGAACGGCATTGCTGTGCGTGCCAACCGAACCATTGGCGAGGCGGCTAAGACCTTGTTGGGGGCTGCTGGGATGCCTTACAAGTTCTGGCCTAAAGCTGTTCGCCATGTCATCACGATCAAGAACAGGGTCTTGACGCATCTTGGTGACAAGCATTGGGTGACGTACGAACGCTGGCTTGGAAAGAAGCCATCCATTGACATGCTGCGGGTGTGGGGCTGCATGGGGCTTTTGATGGTGCCTAAGGGACAGAGGCACAAGCTGGAAGTTGCTGCTGTGTGGGCTGTCCATCTTGGGTTGGCTCGTGACTCAAAGGGGTGGCTAATGTGGGACCCCAAGAGCAAGAAGATGCTGGTCAGTCCTCGCGTCAAGTTTGTGGAGGACGTCATGTACAAGGACTAGCAGCAGCAGCAGCAGCAGGTGCAGATTGGCTTGCGTCTGCAGGAGATTGAGCAGTCTGCAGTGGAGGAGGTTCAACTGCACCTTGAGGAACTCCCTGGGTCAGAGCTGACCAGTGACCACAGTGGTGGTGGTGAGCAGCAAGGTGCTGGTCCTGCTGCGGAGGAGGGGTTGGAGGATGAGTCGGCACGTGTGGACTCACCATCTCAGCCCGAGCCTGCTGCAAACGCCAAGGTCACCAAGAGGAGTGTGCAGAGAGGAGCTTTACCACATGGGCAACAGACTGCAACCCGCGAGAAGAGAGTGGCAGCAACACCTTCAAGGCTGAAGTATAGCCGTTTGGGAGGACCCAAGCAAGGTGCCATGGCGGTTCAGGCGGATGAGGGAGATGATGAGGAGATGGTGTTGTGTTTCTTCACACCTCTGCCTGGAGAACCAGCCACACAGGAGGAGGCACTGAGTGGACCTCAGAAGGAGAAGTGGAAGGCTGCCATGGATGCGGAGTTCAACAGTCTCATTGAGAATGGGACTTGGGAGCTTGTTGAGTTACCCGAGGGGCGACGGCCGATCAGCAGCAAGTGGGTCTTCAAAGTGAAGGGTGGAGCTGATGGTGCGTTGGAGCGGTTCAAGAGCCGCTTGGTCGCCAAGGGGTTTCACCAGAAGGAGAAGGTCGACTTTGGGGAGATCTTCAATCCCGTTGCTAAGCTAGTGACATTGAGGACTTTGATGGCTGGCGCAGCTGTGAAGGGATGGCACGTGAAGCAGATGGATATCACCACTGCGTTTCTCAATGGAGTGCTGCTGGAGGATATCTACATGGCGCAGCCCGACGGCTATGAGGATGGGACAACCCGGGTGTGCAAGCTTAAGAAGGCCATCTATGGCCTTAAGCAAGCGCCCAGGTGTTGGTATGAGAAGCTGGAGGAGGTGCTGTTGGGTGAAGGCTTCATGACGTCCCAGGCGGATCACAGCTTTTTTCTGCTTAAAGAGGGGGAGCAGTTGCTCTTGCTGCTGGTGTATGTCAACAACATACTGCTGTTCTCACCTTCCATGGAGCAAATTGAGAGGACACAGAAGCCGCTGATGGACAAATTCAAGTGCAAGGTGCTGGGGGATGTCCACTACTACTTGGGGCTTCAGATTGAGAGGGATGTTGAGAGGAGGTGGCTGAAGGGGCATCACTTACACTACATCTCTGGTGTCATGGAGCAGTATGGTGTGACTGGGGGTCGCACTGTGATGACACCGTTCCCTGCAGGCTTCAAACTGAAGAAAGCAGCTGAGAAGGATGATGTACTCGAGGATGAGCAGCAGAATGAGTATCAGTCACTCATTGGGAGTGTGATGTATGCTGCAGTGCATACGCGACCTGATGCTTCATTCGGAGTGGGGCAGCTGGCCAGAGTTGTGCAGCGGCCCACTCAGGAGCAGTTGGAGGTGGCAAAGCGCTTGGTGCGCTACCTCAGATCAACGGCATCTGCTGGTGTTCAGTTTTCAGCTGGCGGCCAGCTGAAACAGATTGGAGCAGATGGAGTCACGCCTGGAACCTTGAAGCTGTCGTGCTTCACCAACGCTACGTGGGCCTCAGAGGAGGAGGATCAATCATCGGTTGGCAGCTTTGTGTGCATGGTCGGAGGTGGACCAGTGAGCTGGAGGTCCAAGAAGCAGAGTGTGATTGCTCGGTCTTCCGTAGAGGCAGAGTATATGGCGATGTACCATGCCATCAAGGAGATCGTGCTCCTGAGGAAGCTGCTGGAGGACATGGGAGCTGAACAGCAGGGACCTACACCACGTTTCTCCGACAGCGAGGCTACTATTGGCATGGCCAATAATCCTATCTTGAATGGGCTGAACAAGCACATGAAGATTAAGTGGCACTGGGTGAGGCAGATGGTGAAGGAGGGGATTGTTGAGCTTCACCATGTGAAGGCTAGCAAGCAGGCGGCAGATTTTCTCACCAAGAGACTTCCCGAAAGCGCACATTGGAAATGTGCTAAGATGTGTGGCATGGCATTGCACTAGTGTGGGCAGCAGCATCATGAGTGCATGTGCAATTATGTGCATGAGTGTTTGCATGTGTGTGAGCATGTGTGCATGCAGTCCGTTAGTCTGAGGGGGAGTTTGTTGGATGTCATTCTGAGTGCATGTCATCCTAACGTCCTGCCGAGTGCTCGTGCTATTTGCGCTTGCATGAGCATATGTCATTATGCATGGCTGTTGGATATAATCATCTCTGTGTTTTTCTCCAAGTTTAAATGCTTGATCATGCAGGAGAAATCCAGAGCTTTCCAACGATACCAATATTGCCTTATTCCGACCAAGATCGCCCAAGTTACAAGATTTCCAAGACTTGGATTTCTTATTACCTGTTAAGGTTATATCTAATTTGGGTGATTACTTGGGACAAGACTATAAAGGGATCTTTGGTTGCGTAGTCAGGGAAGGCAACTTTGACTTTTGGATTGGGGTGGCTAGAAGTTTCTAGCATGGGTTGCAAATGTTGCAACACCTAGGCAAAATCCAACTAGATTGGATTTTGCATGTGACACCTCAAGGACCTCATGATGAAGGTTGCATCCTTGCTGCTAGGAAGGTTCCTACCATCCTTCCCTAGCTCTTGAAGAATCTCTTCCCTCTCATGGTTCTCGTGGAGTCCCCAACTCCAAGAATTCTATGCCTACATGCTTGTACTTCCTCCACCATTCTAGTCATGCGGCTGCTGGACGTTTCTAAGTCGTCCTCACTCTATAGACCATCTTAACGACTGATTCAACTTGGAAATAGTAGCTAAGCCTAAGGCGCAACATCCCACTGAGCAGATTTGCGTTTAGTTGAGAAATGAGTTCGTCGTAAACTCTCGAAGTGACGGATCCTGAACAACACTCATATGTACATTCGAAGCACAAGGATCGGGCGCTTCCCTCACATGTACGTTCGACGCACCCGCTTTCGCCCGTCGCACTCCCTTCCGCGTGCCGGCACTCCCTTACGCCCGTCGCACTCTCTTACGCCCATCGCCCTCCCTCCTGCCGTTGTCCTACCTTATGCCCGTCGCCCTCCCTAGCGCCCGTTGCACTCCCTTCCGCCATCGCCCTCCCTTCCGCCCGTCGCCAGTCGCCATGCCTTCCGCCCGTCGCCCTCCCTTCCGCCCGTCGCCCTTCCTTCCGCCCGTCGCCCTCTCTTCTGCCCGTCACCCTCCCTTCGTCTCGTCACCCTCCCTTCCTCCCATTGGCCTCCCGACCACCCGCCGCCCTACCTTCCCCTCGTCGCGCCCCCTTCCGCCCGTTGCCCCCCTTTGTCACGCCGCGCTCCCTGCTGCTCATCGCCCTCCCGCTCTTCCCCTCGCAATCCCCGTATCTCTCTCTCCCCTCATCGCCTCTCACTGTCGCCATCCCTCCCTTCTCCCTTCCCAACTCGTTTGGACCAGTCACACCCCCTTTCCAACCCGCACACACCCGTTCCTTCCCCCAATGATCACCTTTCACCGCCACACTCCTTCCCTCTCTCATTCCCCAAATCATTTCCGGGCTCCCCACCGTTCTTCAGATAGCTCTCTCCCCGGCATCTCCCCCACTCCACTCGTCCTGCTCCCCCCCATCCCCTTCACTATTTCCCCTGGGTTTCCCGCGCTGCTTCCCCCCCATCCCCTTCTCTACTTCCCCACATCCCCTTCCCTCCTTTCCCCCATCCCCTTCCCTTCTTCCCCCCATCCCTTTACCTGCTTCCGCCCATCTCCTTCCCTGCTTCCTCCCATCCCTTCCCTTCTTCCCCCCATCCCTTTACCTGCTTTCCCCCATCCCCTTCCTTGCTTCCCCCCATCCCCTTCCCTGCTTCCCCCCATCCCCTTCCCTGCTTCCCCCCATCCCCTTCCTTGCTTCCCCCCATCCCCTTCCCTGCTTCCCAATGCCCAATTCCTTTCTTCCCCCCATCCCCTTCCCTGCTTCTCCCCATCCCCTTCCCTTCTTCCCCCCATCCCCTTCCCTACTTCCCCATGTTCCCTTCCCTGCTTCCCCCCATCCCCTTCCCTTCTTACCCCCATACCTTTACCCGCTTCCCCCCATCTCCTTCCTTGCTTCCTCCCATCCCTTCCCTTCTTCCCCCCATCCCTTTACCTGCTTCCCCCCATCCCTTTCCCTGCTTCCCCCCATCCCCTTCCCTGCTTCCCCCCATCCCCTTCCCTTATTCCCCCCGTCCCCTTCCCTGCTTCCCCATGTCCAATTCCCTTCTTCCCCCCATCCCCTTCCATGCTTCTCCCCATCCCCTTCCCTTCTTCCCCCCATCCCCTTCCCTGCTTCCCCATGTTCCCTTCCCTGCTTCCCCCCATCCCCTTCCCTTCTTCCCCCCATACCTTTACCTGCTTCCCCCCATCTCCTTCCCTGCTTCCTCCCATCCCTTCCTTTCTTCCCCCCATCCCTTTACCAGCTTCCCCTCATCCCCTTCCCTGCTTCCCCCCATCCCCTTCCCTGCTTCCCCCCATCCCCTTCCCTGCTTCCCCCCATCCCCTTCACTGCTTCCCCGTGTCAGCGTCCCTGCTTCCCCCCATCCCCTTCCCTTCTTCCCCCCATCCCCTTCCCTGCTTCCCAATGCCCAATTCCCTTCTTCCCCCCATCCCCTTCCCTGCTTCTCCCCATCCCCTTCCCTTCTTCCCCCCATCCCCTTCCCTACTTCCCCATGTTCCCTTCCCTGCTTCCCCACATCCCCTTCCCTTCTTCCCCCCATACCTTTACCCGCTTCCCCCCATCTCCTTCCTTGCTTCCTCTCATCCCTTCCCTTCTTCCCCCCATCCCTTTACCCGCTTCCCCCCATCCCTTTCCCTGCTTCCCCCCATCCCCTTCCCTGCTCCCCCCCATCCCCTTTCCTTATTCCCCCCATCCCCTTCCCTGCTTCCCCATGTCCAATTCCCTTCTTCCCCCTATCCCCTTCCATGCTTCTCCCCATCCCCTTCCCTTCTTCCCCCCATCCCCTTCCCTTCTTCCCCCCATCCCCTTCCCTACTTCCCCATGCTCCCTTCCCTGCTTCCTCCCATCCCCTTCCCTTCTTCCCCCCCATACCTTTACCTGCTTCCCCCCATCTCCTTCCTTGCTTCCTCCCATCACTTCCTTTCTTCCCCCCATCCCTTTACCTGCTTCCCCTCATCCCCTTCCCTGCTTCCCCCCATCCCCTTCCCTGCTTCCCCCCATCCCCTTCCCTGCTTCCCCCCATCCCCTTCACTGCTTCCCCGTGTTAGCGTCCCTGCTTCCCCCCATCCCCTTCCCTTCTTCCCCCCATCCTCTTCCCTGCTTCCCCCCATCCCCTTCCCTGCTTCCCCATGTCCCCTTCCCTGCTTCCCCCCATCCCCTTCCCTGCGTCCCAACATCCCTTTCCCTGCTTCCCCCCATCCCCTCCCCTGCTTCCCCCCATCCCTTTCCTTGCTTTCCCCCATCCCCTTCCCTGCTTTCCCATGTCCCTTTCTCTGCTTACCCCCCATCCCCTTCCCTTCTTCCCACCATCCCTTTACCCGCTTCCCCCCATCACCTTCCCTGCTTCCCCCCATCCCTTTCCCTGCTTTCCCCCATCCCCTTCCCTGCTTCCCCCCATCCCCTTCCCTGCTCCCCCCCATCCCCTTCCCTTATTCCCCCCGTCCCCTTCCCTGCTTCCCCATGTCCAATTCCCTTCTTCCCCCCATCCCCTTCCATGCTTCTCCCCATCCCCTTCCCTTCTCCCCCCCATCCCCTTCCCTGCTTCCCCCCATCCCCTTCTTTGCTTCCCCCCATCCCCTTCACTGCTTCCCCGTGTCCGCGTCCCTGCTTCCCCCCATCCCCTTCCATTCTTCCCCCCATCCCCTTCCCTACTTCCCCCGATCCCCTTCCCTGCTTCCCCATGTCCCCTTCCCTGCTTCCCCCCATCCCCTTCCTTGCGTCCCAACATCTCTTTCCCTGCTTCCCCCCATTCCCTTCCCTGCTTCCCCCCATCCATTCCCCTGCTTTCCCCCATCCCCTTCCCTGCTTTCCCATGTCCCTTTCTCTGCTTACCCCCCATCCCCGTCCCTTCTTCCCCCCATCCCTTTACCTGCTTCCCTGTGTCCCCTTCCCTGCTTCCCCGTGTCCCCTTCCCTGCTTCCCCGTGTCCCTTTCCCTGCTTCCCCCCACCCCCTTCCCTGCTTCCCCATTTCCCTTTCCCTGCTTCCCCCTGTCCCCTTCCCTGCTTACCCATGTCCCTTTCCTTGCTTTCCCCCATCCCCTTCCAGTCTTTCCCCCATCCCTTTCCCTGCTTCCCCTCATCCCCTTCCCTTCTTCCCCCCATCCCTTTCCCTCCTTCCCCCCATCCCCTTCCCTGCTTCCCCCCATCCCTTTCCTTGCTTCCCTCAATTCCCTTCCGTGCTTCCCCATGTCCCTTTCCCTGCTCCCCATCCCCTTCCCTGCGTCCCCCCATCCCTTTCCTTGCTTCCCCCAACCCCCTTCCCTGCTTTCCCCCATCCCCTTCCCTGCTTCCCCCTATCCCCCCTGCTTGCCCCCATCCCCTTCCCTGCTTCCCCCCATCCCCTTCCCTTCTTCCCCCCATCCCTTTACCTGCTTTTCGGTGTCCCCTTCCCTGCTTCCCCATGTCCCCTTCCCTGCTTCCCCATGTCCCTTTCCCTGCTTCCCCCCATCCCCTTCCCTGCTTTCCCATGTCCCTTTCCCTGCTTCCCCATGTCCCTTTCCCTGCTTCCCCCCATCCCCTTCCCTGCTTTCCCATGTCCCTTTCCCTGCTTCCCTGTGTCCCCTTCCCTGCTTCCCCGTGTCCCCTTCCCTACTTCCCCGTGTCCCCTTCCCTGCTTCCCCATGTCCCCTTCCCTGCTTCCCCGTGTCCCCTTCCACCGCACTCACATGCACCACTTGTCTGCTCTTCATATTCTCCCTCAGATTCCTCCTCACATGTCTTCTAGAACCCTGGTGAGCACTTTGCTTGACTACATGTCTGCCGGTGTTTGATCAGTGTGCGTGTCTTTCTGACTACGTGCATCCCTGCGTGTGTGCATGCCTACGTGCGTGCATGCGTTGATAGTATATGTGTGCGTGTGCGTGTACACGTCCACCCAAGACCTGATGCCATTCATCAACCGTGACCCTGTGGGAGGCGCACCCGGTGCTGGTGGGGAGGTGTGGCCGCCCAAGAAGCTCCGTGACGTGCCCACAGAGGGAAAGTGGGAGCAGGGGTGGGGGCAGTGGGGAGCTGCGAGGAGGACGAGGAGGAGCAGCCACGCCTAGCGCTGGCGGCTTCCATGGAGGGGCATACAGAGGAAGAGGGGGCCGAGGCGGGAAGGTGGGCAAGGTGGGGAGCAAGGTGGGGACATGGGCCCATGGAGGGCAGCAGGGACGACGCCTCTCGTGTGGCAGAGGGTCAGGAGCAACAAGGGGCGTGGGCAGGAGGGGCAGCGGAGGAGGAGGTTGAGTTACCAGAGGAGCCCGTAGTGCGCACTCCAGCCAGCCGTCGCATTGCCATTCGTTGCCCGGATGGCACTCGGCTGGAGTGTCAGTTCCGGGCCCAGGCACTCTCTCCATGTTCTGTCCCCATCCTTCAAAACAACCTGCTTGCCACCCATCCCACGCCTGTGCACAAATCCCATCCGTCCTGCCATGCTCATTCCCATCCTTCCTGCCATGCTCATTCCCTTGCTCTCCCACTCACTCCTTTGTTCTCCCACGCCCCACTCCCCAGTCCCCCAGATGCTGGGAAGCAGATCTACGATTGAGCCTCTCCCGAGGTGAACCCCTCGGCGCACACCTCGGTGCACCGCCACGCCGGTCACGGAGCATCAGCAGGCCATGGCGCACTTCGGCGGGTTATGCGAGATAACGCGCGCAGCTGGCAGAGCTGCGAGGCAACCTCCTCTCGGCACTGCCTTCAACCTCCCCTGCTGCCCTAGACCTGCGCCCGATAAGGCCTGCATTTGATGTTGCCGCCCTCCTTGCGTGTAAGGAGGGATTGGCAGCTGCAACGCGTGACAGGCAACACTGTGCAGGCAACTGTGTTGATTCTGGATCATGGGGCAAAGACATTTGAATTAAGTAGAGTTGTGTGGTGTGGTCAGTGCGGAGTGGCGGGGGAGGAAGGCACAAGAAGGCAAGCACAGAGTGAAGAGGCCGCGGCATGATATGGAGATTGGCAGCAGGGATCGACTTGTGGGTCGTGCTTTGTTTGGTGCTAATGGTTTATAGGCTGAATTGGGTTTACCTGTTGACCATACTGTGTACAAGGGCTGTACTGTATGTACCCTATCTCAATCTTGACCCGAGCTCCATGCGTAACAAGACATGAAGTATGTAGATTGTGCCTAGCTGTGACATTCCCTACTAGACCTACACAATATGGCCAATGTCACGCATACTAGTATGCGTGTCATACATGGTGAAAACGCAGCTCGCTAGAGAATGTTCAGGTTGGTACGTAGCACTTCAAATCCGTGAAGCACACTTGCAGTTATAGAACCGGGCACATCGTAGTCAGCCGCCTTGAATGGCATGGCACGCTCTTAGAGAAACAACTTGCTGTTGCCTATAAACTAAATTCAAATTTCCCAAGATACATTGTGAGATTTATGCGGGGCAATATTCAAGACGGTCGAGTTGAATATGTCCATGTAAGCCCAGCAGAGAGGAGTGGCGGGGAGTGGCGGCGTCGGGCAAATGAAAGGAGGGGTAGAGTGGAAATTTCGAGGGGCTCTCATTATTGATCCTTTGCAATGGCTGATTTGCAAAGGGGAGAGGGGGGGGATGGGGGGGTCGTGGGGGGAATGGGGTGGGGGGCAGAGGAGAAGAAGATGGTAAAGGGAGCTGAGAACAGGGAGGAGGGGCAGCAGGTTGACAAGCTGGCTCTCATTGCTTATTGCGTGCAATTGCTGTTAGAACGTGGGGGAGTGGGGAGTGGTGGGGAAGGGGGAAAAAGAAGAGAGAGGGGAGGTGGGAAAGAGGCAAGGTGATTGTCTTTGGGATGGCTTCTAATAAGGGCATGGGAGATGGCATGGGATATCATGCACTAGTGCAGATGCCAAATGCACCAAAGGTCAACTGCACTGCACTAGGTGTCATTTGCCACTAAGCAGCAAACGTCCCGGGGGGTCGAGGCTTCCACCAGGGAAGGCCGCCCTGCCACCTCCATGTCCCTCTGCAAGTACTGCAGCAGCGGCACTCCCTGCACTGGCGAGAAAAATTATAGGCGCTAACATGGGATGTAACCCAGGCATGGGGGATGGGGAGGCGAAACATCACAAGGTATTTGGTCAAGAGGAAGGGCTTAAGGGAGACAAGGAGGCGTGGAGAGGAGAGGGGGGGATAGATTTGAAGGCCCAATAGTGTTGGTGTTTGAGGAAAAATAATAACAATAGTAGGGTTCATTATTACCATGGGCGAGCACGTGAGCGTCGTTGATACCGAAAGCGATGCGGCGTGGCGGCCAAAATGATATTGTTGGACCTTTCTGAACCCCATAGGTGTGTCGTGGATGTTTACCGAGGATAGTTGGTGACGTCACCTGTAACATTTGCACAAACAAAAAGTGTCGGTCAAGTTGATGAGATATTGTGTGATATGTTGCAAATGTGCAACTACTCTCACCTAGAAGTCTGCGCGCAGCTCCATGCGTTGATGACCGGCCGCGACCCATCTGGCTACGTCGCACAGGTGTACCGGGCTGCTGTACAGATGGGTGGCCCCCTCCATCAGATATGTCAGCGGACTGCTTTTTCGCTCCTTGGCTCGTTATTGCATCTTCGTTAATATCATCATCGACACCATCCCCTAACGATCGTTGCTAATCCGACATGATCCAATCAACCCACGACCAATCCATCGGTCCTAGTGTTTGATCCTTGTTGCCCCGACGCACCCGCATCACTTGCCGTACCCGTGTTTGATAGGAAGTGACCAATCTATCCATCGAGTTCTTCCAGTGCAAGACAGCGAGAGCCACCCGTGGCACGAGACTATCCTGGAATCGAATACGCTTTGGGGCGTAACTGGGGATCAGAGAATAACATGACTCATTGACAGAGCTGTTGGGTCCGTGAACGAAAATTTTCACCTTTTCCAATGATAACCGTTTCTTGAACCATTCAAGCACCGCCTTGTGCGTTTCTGACCCAGGCTCGTAAAGAGCACATTCCCTCCCCCAATTCTCAGTAACACACCTTGGCGGGACACCACCAGGCTTTCCACACCTGGAATGGTCACCCGCCCAATGGTTTGGCACCGTCCCAATCTCCCTTGCCACATCATCAGGGGTCGTAGGGGTGCCCGCTTCCTTCATCCGTCACATGGAAAATATGCGAGCTGAAGTGCTGCGCCACTGTACTCTCCTCATCGTCAGCGTGTACCTCATCTCCACCCCGTTTTCGTTTCCGGCGCCCAACCCACCGAGGCAAATTCTGTCCAATTCTGCTTCCTGCAACATCACCATTGTGAACTGCACCCTCGTTGTCACTTGCAGGGTTAGTATCTGTTGGGTCCGCACCACCCATGCCATCATCTCCTGGTGAACGACAATATTGGAGGGAAACATGACTAATTATGGTTACTTATGTGAGCATTCTTACCAGTCGATTTGTCAGCACTAGCCCACTGTGTCGTCCCAACGATTGACCGTGAAACATCGCCTACACTTGCATGTGCATGCATGATGAATGCACTTGCCACAGACCATGGTCGCGCGCCGTGCAGTGGATGCAAATCGTAACTCCAAAGTTGCACATCTGGCCACTGCACGTCAACTTCTACCACATCAATCGCAATGGTCCGCCTATCTCCTGTTGGGCCCGTTCGCACCTCCACATAAGCCACAGGGACATCTACAACCCCCTGTTCCCCCCCTACTCGTCGCACACTTCTCAGCTCTGGAAATTTCCACTTTGCTTCATCAGATGTGATGTGCACGTAGGCAGTGGTGCCCATGGCTGTGCAGACTGATTGCACAAGAGCCGATTTGGGTGATGCCTTTGCCTCTTTCTCCAAACCCTGTTTTCGCAATCATTGCCGCAGCCCTTTCACCGTAGCCAACCACAGCTCCTCAATACAACTTGCCTTGTCCACGACTACCGGCAACCGCACTGCATCCTGAAGCTCTTTGTAGAAAAGCTTGTACATTGTTTTCTTCATGTCCCACCTGTGAAGAATGAGGAATGAATGAACTAGGAAAGAGGTGGGTACAAGTAGGAAAACCTAAAAGTGTTGTACCCCATATTGTCTACCCCACTACAGCCTACACAAACTAAAGCATATGAGTTTAACACACCCCCATAGGCAAAGTGGGGGAGAATAAGAGGTCACAAGATCAGTCAAGCAAAGCAAAGCAAGCTCAGGGTGGATCACAACGTCACCACACATTCCGAGCACAAGTTCAAAGGCCATAAGGCCAGTTCACATGCAAGATCATATATCAAGGTAAACAGGCAAGTGCAGGTATAGAAAGATCACAGTACAAGCAAGGTCAAGAAGTGAGCAAGTGAGGCCAAGTAGGCACAAGACCTAGCATAGTACAGAAGCGCTGATGACCACAAGGCGGAAGTGCCTTGGTAAAGATATCAGCAGTGCTGGCCTCAGAGGCCACGTAAGCAAGGCGCAGCTGACCACGCCACTGCAGCTCACGAGCAAGGAAGTAGCGAAGAGCAATCTGCTTCGTTCTGTGCTCCAGTCTGTGCTCCCGACACAAGGCCAGCATGGCCTTGTTGTCTACGTACAGAACTGGAGGAGAACGAGGCGGCGCTCCTAGGTCAGTTAGCAGGTAGGTGAGCCAGCGTAGCTCCTGTGCAGCCATGGCCCCCGCGTAGATCTCAGCCTCACAGCTGGAGCCGAGAACAGAAGACGAGCGGGTAGACCGCCACGAAACAGAGCCGGAGCCAAGGCTGAAGGTGTAACCCTGTGACGACCGCTGCGTAGCCTGGTTGTCAGCCCAAGAAGCGTCTGCGTGACCTGTGAGGACCACTGGACGTCGCCCTCCAAGCACTAGCCCGATGCGCAACGTACTGCACAAGTAGCGCAACACCCTCTTTGCTGCAGCCATGTGCTCTGGCCTGTGTCTGCCAGGAGCATCAAAAGAGGGTATGCAAGGTCAGGTCGTGTGCAGGTCATCAGGTACATGAGGCAGCCAACAAGCTCTGGGTACGGGCCACTCGGCTCTACGGACTCATCCGAAGGCAGAGCGGAGAGCGAGTGGCGAGTAGACAGAGGAGTGGCCTGAGGCGAGGAGTACGTGAAGTCGAAGCGCTGAAGGACCTGCTGCACCATGTGTGACTGAGTCAGGGTAATGGTGCGCTGTGCTCCGTCCCGGGTGATCTGCAAGACAAGGTAGCTGCGCAGTTCACCCAGGTCTGTGCACGTGTGTCTCTTCTGCAGCTCGGACTTCACATGGCCTAGTCCGGCAGTGTCAGTAGTGGCAAAGACCAAGTCGTCGACGTACACGAGGATGTAGAACGGCGGCAAAGAGGTGTCGGTGCGTAGAAACAGCGACGGGTCGGCAGTAGAAGGAGCAAACCCAAGAGCCGCAAGTGTAGTCCTCAGTGTGTCGTGCCACTCACGGGGCGCCTTGCGGAGACTGTAGACTGGCCGCCGGAGGCTCCACTGGGTACCAGGGGGAAACGACCCAGTGAAGCCAGGTGGGCGGCGCAGCCCGATCTCCTCGTGCAGGCTGCCCTGTAGGAAAGCTGTGCTGAAGTCAAGAGAGTGAAGCTCGTAGTCACGCTGACCGGCTATGTGCAGCAGC